ATAAGCGTACAACATTGGTTGACCATGTGTTGTCAAAATATTAGTATATAGGGTAATTGGTGCAAAACGTCCCTACCTATGCCGGTTTGTGTGCAAAACGTCCCCACCTTTCATTTTTAGGCGCAGAACGTCCTTACCTTTACATTTGCTTGCTCAAAACGTCCTTTTCGTCTATTTTTGACCATTTTACCCTTATATTAAAATAAAACAAACACAAAATAAAAGAAAAATAAAGAATAAATTGCAATTGTGGGTTCAAATTTTTAAAACGGTGCAAATTAGTCACAACTGTGAATTAACCATTGGAAAGCAACCCAAACAACCGGATTTGCAAACCATTGGAAAGCCCTTATCACAACCATCAATTACCACCAAAAATCCAACCAAAATAACTAACAAAATTGAAGAAATCAGCCAAAAAACCCAGCTGCATGTGAAACCATTTTTTACCGGAATAACGCCGTCCGGCGAAACCCATGGCCGGGGACACCTGCTGGCAACTTCCCCACACCTAGATGAGCCCTCCTACGTTGGCAATTCATCTATAAAAACTCTCAAGCAAACTGAATTAATTATGGAATAATGCTCAGTCATGATGCTCGCGATCGAGCCTGAGAAAAACCTTAATTCCGGTGTCTTCAACTTCACCCAGGGAGGTGGACCACATGGGCTAGGTTCACCCTCACCTGGCGCACGTAGCCCAGTAATGGGTCTCCATCAATTTGACTCCAAGCAACCTGAATTTGATTATGAAATTCTCGAAGGGAAGAACTCGCGAACACAGAATTTTATTTCTTTCAATTCAGGAATCGTCCGGCCAAACCAAGGTGGCGGACCACCTGGGCTAGCTCCCCCACACTCTGGGCAACCCAGCCCAGCCCTGGGTCCCAGACAATTGCATCCCAAAATTGATGAATTTATGATTGGATTGTCCCGACAGATAATGAATTTATGCAGCTAGGTTTTTTGGCTGATTTCTTCAATTTTGTTGCTTGTTTTGGTTGGATTTTTTGTGGTAATTGATGGTTGTGATAAGGGCTTTCCAATGGTGTGCAAATCCGGTCGTTTGGGTTGCTTTCCAATGGTTAATTCATAGTTGTGACTAATTTGCACCGTTTTAAAAGTTTGAACCCATAATTGCAATTTATTCTTTATTTTTCTTTTATTTTGTGTTTGTTTTATTTTAATATAAGGATAAAATGGTTAAAAATAGATGAAAAGGATGTTTTGGCAAGAAAATGTAAAGGTAGGAACGTTTTGTGCCAAAAAATGAAAGGTGGGGACGTTCTGCACACAAACCGGTATAGGTAGGAACGTTTTGCGCCAATTACCCTTAGTATGTAATGTAGAAAACAGTTTTTTTTAAATGAACGAGTATGATGATATTAAATAGAATGTTGTCAATCAATATTGTACACGTAGCATGATTCTTAAATAAGGTTATTCACGACATAAAGTTTAAAAAACTAGGAAACATGTCGCCTTGATTAGCGCAAGATCTTTTTTGGGAGAGAGAGATTAGTTTTCTAAGATTCCATGGAGATAAAATTGACCATCTTTTTCCCCCAATTGCATGCAACTGTACAGTTCTTCTTCATTTTCTAAGGGAAATTGATTCAAATAGTGGCAGGCCTATGAAGTTGTTGTGTAGTTCATACTTTTAAATTTTGACCCAAATATTTTTGACACTTTTATTTTGTTGATAATTAAAATTGATGTGGCAATTATAAATCAATTTTAAGAAATTAGCAGATTAATTGTTGAAAAATTATAAAGAAAAGAGAAATTCTCGTTAAGAAGTATTTTTGGTAGTGCATTATAAAGAACTGCGATCATTGTATCCATTTGTAAGCCTTCAATCAAGAGTTGTTCGCCATCTGTCAAGCTAAAGTACTGAACTTGATATGTGTGTCATGATCTTGTTCGACTAGATTTGATTGGATGTTGAGTTCGATCGTCGGTCCAACATTTCACATACAACTAGGGATGTCAACAATTCGAACCGACTCGTGAGTCGAAATTCGAAGTTTGGGCTCGATTAAAAAATTTAGGCTCGTAAACAATTTTTCTTGAAACAGCATAGCTGCTCAGCTGCCAGCTACAACCTACCTTGACTTTTATTTTTCTATTTTTAAAGTTTTACATTTTTTTAGTGGCTCGACTAGTCACAGGCCAGCCAATGTGTTTGTAGAGCCATATGAGTTGGCTAGGGCTCGGATCGACTCTTCAAAATGGGATTCGGCCTGAGCTTCAACTCGATTCTACCCAAAATGGGCCAACACTATGCTGCACTATTGAATATGTTAATGTTTTGCTAATTTAAAAATATGAGAGACAAATAAGTCTTCGTTTTTCTCTTATTTTTTCGAAACTCCTTTTTCTACATGTTCATTTTTAATCACACATTCATACAATAAAAAATTATATACGTAAACGAAAAAAAAATTCCAATCTTTTAACCACACAACATTCTTCAAAAATTCATTATTTAAAATAATATATTTCCAAAAAAAATGAAAATAGGCTAAATCTTTGTATGCACACCTAGGGGTGGGCGCATGTCTGTTTGGTTCGATTTTTTTCGATTCCAGAAATTTTCGGGTATTTAGTAAATGGAATCGTCGGTTCCAAATATAATTTTGGAACCGTTCGAGTTCGGTTCGGTTCGATTCTGTACTATAATTAAAATTTTTAACATTTAAAATAATACTACATAAATACATCTGAAAGTAGATACTAATATTAATAACAAAAAGTAGATATAAATATCAAATTCAATCTTAACTTTTACAAATTAACGTAATCTAATTTAATAACATATAAATAATAAGTTGTCAAATACAAATACGAAAAAGTAAATATTACTAATAAAACTTCGATAATTCATATCAATAATTCATTTGTTTCAAACATTCAAGTCTACATAAAAATGAAATATAAATTAGAAGTAATAAAGATAAAATATTTTAAAGTATTGATAATACTTACCAACTATTTAATATAATAATCAGTTGTTTGATTTTCCATACTAACTACTAAGAGACTATACAAGAAAAAATTGAAAAAAACACAACTAATAAACATAAATAAACTCTAAATTGTTCAACTAATAAGATTTAATAAGAAAAAAATTATTAATTTATTTAAAAAAAATGAAAGAAATTGATTTATCCAATATAAAAACAAAATTTCGGCTCTTATTCGATTCTTCGGTTCTGGGTCTAGAACCGAGAACCGAATCAAACCATTCGATTCTCGATTCGGATACCCGTTAGGATATTTCATTTAAAAAAATTCGCTCGGTTCGGTTCCGGTTCGGTTCGGACATTTTGCCCAACCCTATGCACACCTAACAAATAATTGGATTGTGTTGACTAAATTAAACCACATGTTCTTATACTTTCTCACGGGTCAACGACCCCCTCCCTTGTATATGTGAGCCATTTCAAGGTAACCCTAGTCAAATCTCCCTTTTCTTGCATTGGCTTTCTCTTGTCCGAGTGTTGATTTGATCATTGGAATGCAAATGATCGTTGAATCATATCAGTGTATTTTAGAGCGTAGACGATGTCTAAGTGAATGGGAGGTGGTCAATATTCAGTTAACCTCTTTGAATTTTGAGGTAAAAAACATCTACATTCTCCGACTAAATGGGCTAAACCACATACCAAATAGTTTCACCTCTTCCATTTCTCCTTGTATTTGTCTCTATGTTGCGTGCTGTATTTGCTTTCTGCAGGTTGACCTCTTATTATGCAGAGGGAGCATAGAACTTTTCCGCCAAGAAACAACATTCAATAAATTAATATACTCGACAAATTTTTATAATCAAACAAGTACTCGACCTTGATTGATGTAGGTGTGAAGTGTTGGTTTATACTTGCTTACTAAATTATATAATATTGAACAAGTTGTGTTTCTGTTTGGCATCATCAAGAAGGTTTTACTCGAAATTTTATGTTGAATATTGACTTACTCTGCAATTATATTGATAGTTCGAAAAGTAACCTTTTGAATTTCAAAGATTGGAAACAAATTTGTAATTCGAACAAAAAAATTGCGATAAGCGGTGCCTGTTTCCTTCTTTTTCTATTTTACACTCGTGGTTCGACTGACTAGGAAATAAAGACATTCATTTGTATAGTCAGAACAAATCAACAACACGAGCCACGGCCTTTTTAAAACTTGAAGCCTAGGAAATAGGGCTATCACTCTTTCTCATCTCAGAATTTCAGATAACTTTATTTTTGCACCATATTTAGTCTAGCTACAAATAAAATGTTTAGTACATTTTGATAAAAATTGATAAAATGTGATTCAAAAGTTGCGAATAAATTAATTGTTACTTTTACTTAGATTTTTATTAAGATTTTAATCCACATTAAGTAATGGCTTTATCTTCATAATTTCACAACAATTTTTTATTTTTTTTCAAAAATACATTTCTGATTAATTCGGAGATTGTTAATTTCACCAAAAAAATGAGAAATATTTTTACGAAATTAAAAAATATAAAGACTCCAATCCATTGCCAGAATATATTTTTTTAATAAAAAAATGTCGACACATGGAAATAACTTGTGTTCTGCAATGATAATGATATTAATCCAAAATTATAAAGTAATTTTATTATGTTTAATAGCCAAAATTACATTGTATAAGTATGATATATAGGTAAATATTATCTGTAAATAAGATTTTTTTGGTAGGAGATTATTGGGATTCGTTCTCTATTCACGATGAATTTTTCACAAAATCATCGATCAATTCTGTAGCAACATTGACAGTTTCTTATACAATGATTTGAAACGTTTACCAAGTAGACATAATTCAAGATTTTTATATATGAACTTTTCATACAAAAGAGGCTAAAGCATTGATGGAAAGGAACAAATAAGTACTCTTAATGCATAGTTTCTTAATATTTTTTAGGTAGAAGGGAAGTCATAATTCCCCTTATTACATAATTTCGAGTTCAACATCAAAGCATAACATAGATTTCATTTGGTGACGGCAGCGGCTTCAAAACGAGCTCGAAAAATTGCAGTCAACTTCTCTTTGGGAGGCAGATTTTCCTTTATAATGTTGCAGTTCAGGTAGTCATCCATCCATTCACCTAACTTCGGAAATTTCTCTTTTGTATACACTTGAAATCCAACCAATTCTTGCAGAATTATAAGCCAATATGATATGAAATTGGCAACTATATCAACCATTCCAATAGTGTCACCCCCAAAGAATTTCTTGTCTGAAAGTGTGCCCTCGAGAATTTTCAGAAGTTCAGTAGATTCTTCCTTGGCCTTCTCTTGCTCCTCTCCCACGCTCCAACAACCATTCCACAGTGCAGGCAAACACTAAAACAAACATAAAATGAAAATAATGTTAAATTTTGAATGATTCAAATACCTGAAGGTATGTTTGTACTATACAAATATCGAACGGTAATGGACAAAAAAATTCATATCACGTTACAAGAAATTTACAGTTCTCAACTTTTTTACCACCACATTGAAGTATCACAGAGAATTAAATTAAATTATTGTACATTGTACCCTTCTGTATCAAACCGAAGCCTCAAAATCTAGACAATTGAAGTGACTTCTACGGACCAGAAGAATTCAAACCGTCACTCTTCTCATCAAAGAATCATTCACACTCTTAATTTCACACAAAAACCACAAAAATCTTCAACCTAGTAGTTGAAGATTGAAGAGAAGACGAAGAAGAAAACTCACATAGAGTTCTAGAAGACGACCAATGAGAAATCCCATGTTTAGAATGAATTACGCAAGTGACTGCTCTTGATCTCATATCAAGATCAAGCGATCGACAACTAGCAACATATCAAGTTCTAGAGACGACAAATTAATACCAAATTTGAAATTCTAAAAAGCGATTTAGTCCAGTTAGTGGGCCTTGTGATTTTGAAGTATCAAGAATTAGATTTTGTAGCTAAGACAAGCTCATTTCCATTATTAACCCAATTAGGCTGGATTTGACGTCCCGGCACAATAGTTTGGTATATTGTACTAGACATAACAACATAAAAACGTACCTTTTCATCAAAGAACTTAGTCCAGAAGCGCACCAATGCTCTTTCATAAGGATCTTTGGGCAAAAGGGAAGGGCCTGTTTCCCAGGTTTCATCAATGTATTCAAGAATCACCAGTGACTCAGAAATTGGTTTGCCATTGTGGACTAACACAGGAACTTTCTTGTGGACTGGATTGTACTTCAACAGTAAAGGGGACTTGTAGTTTTGTACATCTTCATTTATGAATTCATATTCAACACCCTTGAGTTTCAGAGCAACCTCGACTCTACAGCTAAATGGGCTTGCCCAATTACCAAAAAGCTTCACTTCTGCCATTTTACTCTCCTTGATTTTCACTCTATATTGTTCTGTGTTCTAATTCTACAAGTAGAGGCCTTATTATATAGAGGGAGCCTCACTTATCTGCTAAGAAACAATGAATAAATTAATATATTAAATAAATATTTGCAATTTGACCAAGTGATTATTCAATGAAGTAGATGGGGAGTGCCGATTTATAGTAATTTTTTATGCATGGAAGGGTCCAGAACATGATCATTAGGCCAGAAACAGTTGAATTACGTGCAAAAACTGTTTAGCATCAACAAAGTTTTGCCCTCTGTTTGGTACACATTATTTTTTTCATTCTCATTCTTCTATTCATTTTCAACATTTAATTTTATGTATTTATAATTTAAACTATTTATAAACCCTTTGTTAGGGAGCCAAATTCATAATTGAGATTAGCCTAAAGTAGAAAATGAATGTATTTAAAATTGAGATTAGTCAAAACTCGAGGATGGGATATAACGGGCCTGGACTGATTTGAACCCAACTGGACGGAACATGTATGAAAAAGCCCATATTGGCTATTGTCCACAGGCCCAAATCTCATTTAGGAGAATTATCTGTAGGCCCGAAATTGAAAACTACTGAGTAGGCTGCAGAAAATAACTAAATTACTGTCACCCACACATACGATTATATGGGTCGATGAAGCAAGAAAAGGGGAATTCCAACACAATCAAAATGCTAAGAAAATCCATTGAACTCACTAAAATTCAAATTGAATAACATTTTACTTTGCTTGCCACGTGTTCTTTCAAATGCAAAAATGAAGATTGTTTTACAATAGCAGTGGTTGATAACTAAAATTAGGAATTTGCTGCAATCTTGTAAAGAAAAGAGAAATTATAATTAAGAAATATTTTTGGTAGCATATTACATAGAACTGCTTATCTAGAATTAAATTAAGCTAGTGTGCCAGAAAATGTTTGCCCACCTGGGTGACCTAAACTCACATGGCATGGGACTGATGTGGAGACCCGCGTGAAATAAAAAATTAAAAAAAATGCTCACCACCTCCACAATGTGTGTGTTCTGTCAGGGAGTGTGTCACCCCCTCCCTGGCACACCAGCTCGGTTCGCTCGAATTTGTAGGGGACCATTCCCCCTTTATACACGGACTGCAACAGGAGCTTGTTGCCTTATGTCAAATCAAGTTAAAATGTCTGACATTGATTTGTGTACTATCTTCGTGTTTAAAGAGTTTTGACTTGGAAGTTGAGTTCGACTAATTAGATCATCATTTAGACGGGATCTGCAACTTAGATCATGAAAGCATCTTGTCTATGCAATCGTTACTTTTCTCTGATTGGTGAGAGAAACAGTTTTGATGTCAGAGGTGACACTTGATATTTTTGGAGTGATTGTTGAGAAGGTAATGAAGTAATTGGAAAACCCATTTTCCATGGGGTGACAATGATGTTCACGGATAACGGCATATTCGTGACTGAGCTTAAAAGATGAGCTTTTAGTTTGGCCTCTTGTTGTGAATCGGAGGTTTTACCATTAAGTTCCTTCTGATTCTTTTTGAGGTGTGCCCGAGGTTCTTATGAGTTCAAACACAACTAAAATCAAAGTGAGCCACCTTGTACAGTTCGCGAGCTGGAGCTCCACTCAGGCTTAGGCTCGATTCAAGCAGATCTTGAGCAGCCCATAGGAGGGAGCCAGGCGAGATCACAAGCCAGTGACACGAATCAAGATTTGAAACATTTACAAAGTAGCTTGACATAAATCAAGATTTATTATATGAAACATTTCAAACACAGAGGCTAAAGCATTGATAGAAAGGTAACAAATAAGTGCTCATAATGCATTGTTTCTTAAAATTTATTAGGTAAAAGGGGAGTCATAATTCCCTTTATTACATAATTTCGAGTTCAATATCGAAACATAAAGTAATTAGCTGCATAGATTTCAGCTTCAAAACAAGCTCGAAAAACTTCAATCAACTATCTTTGGGAGGTAGATTTTCCTTTATAATATTGCAGTTTAGGTAGTCATTCATCCATTCACCAAACTTTGGAAATTTTTCTTTTGTCGACACTTGAAATCCAGCCAACTCTTGCAGAATCATAAACCAATATGATATGAAATTGGCAACTATATCAACCATTCCAGTATTGTCACCCCCAAAGAATTTCTTGCCCCGAAATGTGTGCCCTCGAGAATTTTCAGAAGTTCAGTAGATTCTTCCTTGGCCATCTCTTGCTCGTCTCCCTTGCCCCAACAAGCTTTCTTCATTGCAGGCAAACACTAAATCAAACATGAAACAAAAATACCGTTCATTGTTGAATGGTTCAAACACCCAACGACATGTTTGGTATATTATACAGGACGTAACAGCATAGAAATGTACCTTTTCATCCAAGAACTTAGCCCAGAAGTGCGCAATCGCTTTCTCATAAGGATCTTTAGGCAAAAGAGAAGGGCTTTCTTCCCAGGTTTCATCAATGTATTCAAGAATCACGAGAGACTTTCAAATTGGCTTGCCATTGTGGATTACAGGAACTTTCTAACAGCAAAGAGGACTTCTTGTTGTATACATCTTCGTCTATGAATTCATATTGGACACCCTTGAGTTTAGAGCAAACTCGATTCTGCGGCTATATAGGCTTCCCCAACTACCCAAAAGCTTCACTTCTGCCATTTTACTCTCTACGCTCTCATTCTGGTTCTGCTGCTCTTAAATTGCAACAAGAGGTCAAGGGCGAGTTGTTCTTTACCCCCTAGAGCCGACCTACGCACTGATCTCAGCAAACTTTTTTGTTCGGTACTTCCTAAGGTTTGAGGTTTTTTGAACTTTTCAAGAAAAATCAATAGGGGTGATGAATTTTTATTGGTTCGATTTGCATTGAACATGGAACTCCCCCACAAATAGTTGAATTACATGAAAGGGACTGTAGCCAATTCTTCAGAAAATTCTTGTGGAATTGATACACGTTTCTCATTTTGCATTCAAGAAAACTTTCATTTGGAATTGTCTATGAAACCATCGTTGCATCATAAATTTTAGCCATTAAAAACAGCATTATTGAAAAGATGGGTCATAGTTGAATTATTCGGATTGCTTCTACAGATTCAAAAGGGCAAGAAACAAAAATGAGAAAGAAAGTAAAAGAAAAAACCAAACTGGTCACTGGCTCCACATTTGAAAAACTAAAAATTGAAATGGGGGCATTCCGAGAATTGAACTCGGGACCTCTCGCACCCTAAGCGAGAATCATACCACTAGACCAAATGCCCAGACGTTATCAGCTCGAAATGTTTACTAAATTTCTCTATCCATTTTCTCAATTTTACATTCTCCCATACGCTAAATCAAGATTCAAAACTAACTAATCCATTATGGGCCACTAATCCATTTCGTTTGTATATCTTTTTTTCTTTTGTTTGCTCGGATTTGCCTGTAGTAGTAGCATGTTCCACATGATTGTTATTTCGCTTGGGAATGCCTAAACTATATGTACATGAGTTTCTTATCTACAGTAATTTACATTTATCGATAAAAAAATAAATTCAAAACAAACTATATTTACTATATCTATTAAAATCTTTGATGCGAATGGATCACTGTTTCTAGTTTCAAGAAGTTAGTTTCTATTTTTTCTCTTTTATTGAATGGAAGGTAATTAAATTCATGGCAATATGGGAGCTTGGCTATAAAGCGGTTGGTCCCTAAGCTCAAACACGGCAAACACTACAAAAAATACAGACTATACACTATCAAATTCGGAGTGTTGGAGAGTTTAGAAGTGTCTAAATTGGAGAATACAGAAGCTTGTGTAATATCATCAATGACCAGAGGAATAAATTCGATCAATGGGTTTTCGATTTTTTCTCTATCCAAGTTACTTTTGCTTCAAAAAAATTCACCGTTTTGACCGAAATATTTTTTTGAAATCAAAATTCAAATTTCTCCATAAAATTACTTTCCTAGACTGTGTGTTTTTAAACTTGAGTTTTGACATTGGAGGGCTGAACTTCAAGTGGGTCAGAACCAGGTCGATTTCGACCCGCTAGAGGACGATTGAGGAAGATGACTGTGGTGCCGTTTCCTTTTGAAGTCAATTATCGGGCCATGATAAGCATTTTCCTTTTTGTTGGGCCAAACACTGTTGTTTTCAAATGCTTTGCATTAAGTGACAAGATTCTATTTTATTTAGTGGGCCGTATCCACATATAGAGACCATCTGAAAATAATTTGCTGGGCCGTAATTCCGTGTATAGAGGCCATTTGAAAAGCATAAGCAATTGTTTATCGGTAAATTAGGCCCGTTGCTGTCCATAACTAAGAACATTGAAAAAGAGGAAATTACATCCTCACAGGTTTTTAAAATACAATTTTCATAAATCCAAAATCATCTTTAATAATACATAAATCAGGTTTTGATCTACCGATTGGAACACGGGTCGTATGCGAGTGTTGTAGCGGCATAAGGCGAGCGAGTGGCTTGTTTGTAGAGGATCAGCCATGGCTTCGGCTTTTTGAGGTGGCGGAGGGAGGAGGCCACGGCGGAACGCCACGACTTGGAGACACTAGAGGCTGGCACCAAATCGATGAGTGGCATGTACGAGAGTATTGCTTCTAGTACATCTCCATAAATTTCAACTTCTTGTTCTCCATGTGAGATTTCTTGAAGTTCTGTTGTTGCCCTCTTTGGAGGGTTTTGATGGAATATCTGGATACTATTTTTTGGTGTTGGTGTTGGTGTTGGCGGCGGCGGTTTGTGGTGTGATGGGTGTGGTAGAGGTGAAGAAGATGGTAGAGGTGGTAGTGGTGATTTGTAGATACAGGCTGGGATAATTGTGTGGAGGAGGTAATGGTTGTGGATTTGGGGATTTTTTTGTTGGGTGGTGGTTGCGGGTCTAGATATTTTTTTGTTGGTGTGGTAGTTGCGGTGCGGTGGTGATGGTGGTGCTACAGGTGGTTGATTGGGGTGAGGCATTGGTTTTGGTTGTTGGAGCGGCGGTGGCAGTGGCGGGCGGCCATGGTGGTGGTCGTGGTAGTGGGTGTGGGTGTTTGTAACCAATTATTTGGTTGATTGTGACTTTTAAAATTTTAATTTGTAACCGATGAGCAAACTGTGACCTATAATATTTTTGAATTGTGACCTTAAAATAGTTGACACATATAAAAAATTTGATTATGTGACCTAGAAATAATTTGTGACCTACAAATTTATTAATTTGTGACCAATAAAAGTAATATGTGACCTATAATTTGATGTTCTGTGACCATAAAATAAGTTGTGTGACTTATAAATTTTGTGATTCGTGACCGATGAA